GCTGCTCATCGACTTCCTAATTCAGTGGTGGGTCTGTTTTGCTTTCACAGGGCATACATCAAGGCATAATTGAAGGAGATTTTGCACTTTGTATCAGTTTATATCATGGTTATGAGCTGCTGCTGCAAATGGGATTACGGTCGTTATTTATCTACCTTGGTGGAATTATGGATGGATCAAAAGGTGAAACGTCTTAAGAAACATCCCTCCTCTTGTCTCCACTCCTTCTCATTCAATTTACCTCATCTGCATGGCTAGTTTCACACAAAACAGCGTATATAGTGGATGGGTTGCAGATGTAATTGGCATTTTTTTTCCCCTTCATTCCTGTTGGAAATATGTTAGTACAGTGTTAGAGTACATGTGGGAAAGAAAACGTGTTTATATCGCAGCATTTCTGGAAGACAAAAAAAGGCACAAGCAGAACTCAGCGTAAGTGGCAGTAATATCTCTAGAGAGGCAGAGAGTAACCATTAAGCGATTTAGACTGAGAAAAAGTTTGATCTTGTAAAGCAATTCCTCCCCCTATAGCAAAACTCATGTATGCATGAGTTTTCAGTGTCTTTGCCAGACGATTACAGACTTGGACACATCACACTAGAATTTCTATCCCAGCTGTGCAACATCTTCCATGCTCATGAAGCAAAATATAAAGTTATTATTGTCTTTCTCTGTATCTCTTCTCATTTTCTCAAATGAGATGATAATAACCGTGCACACTATTCCAGATGTGGACACAGCATGAATTCATACAGTGATGCAATAGTACTTTCTATTCTGGCCTCCGTTTGTTTTCCTAGTTCTGTCACTGACTATTGTGAGTCTCTTGCAACTCTCCACAGTCATTTTTAGACCTGTTGGGTTGTCATTGCCATCTGGAAGACCTGGTTTGGTACTGACATCTTTTCTGAGGGGACAGATTTCAACGTGGCAATGTCAGCCTTAACTGCAAGTTTCTTTTAAACACTGGATGTGGGAGGGGAAGGTTCCAGCTGTGCACATTACTCCATGGCGTGGCTCTTGGGTTTCTTCATTGTGGCTTACACTTAGCTGTGTAACTGTGTGATAATTTAAAAAAGCTACTTCGCCTACAGCACTGCTTAATTAAAATGACACTGCCTTGTTGTCATCTGAACCAAAAGCATACAGTGCTTGCTTCATCTTATAGAATATCTACAGCTTATGTTTTTATGGGATGCATGTTCGAATAATTCTTCATTCATTTTATGCTTTTGACATTTTTACAATTTATTGCTTTTGCATATGCAGATTATTTACATTTCTGATGGCGTAGCGCTGTTGTTAGACACAGGCACTGGAGAGCATGTAACATATTTCACAGTTCCTCAGATTACTTAAATCCCTGCCTGGTATTGAATAGAATAGAATATTTGACTAGAAGAGAATATTTGAACAGAATAGAATATTTCAGTTGGAAGGGGCCTACAACGATGTTTAAATTCTGTAATGCCATCTTCCCTGAAAATATATTGATGCCAAACAATGTTTATTACATATTCTAAAGTTAACGTGTATCTTTCAGCTCTTGAAAGGAGCCTGCTGCTTCTGAGAAAGCTTGTCTTTTGGATAGCAAAAATTATATTCACTCTAGATATTAAATACTAAGATATTTCAACTTTTTACAAAAAGGGTTAACCCGTACGAAGAATGAACTTGGTCGTAATGAGGACTTCATGAAGCTCTATCAGCAGCTTAGAGACCTGTTTTCAGACACACCTCTGGCTTCAGCAAATGGAAATGTTTACAAGAGTAAAACAGGTCAGTGTTTCCCTTTTAGGGACAGAACATTTACTTTCAGTTTACATGAAACAGTAGATACCGCTACACAGTTTGTAGATGCAGGAAGCTATTAGTTGTGATACACACAGCTAGCGTTCTTTATTCCACATCATTTTCCCCAGACTCTTATCTGTCTATCTGTCTGTCTATCTTCTCTCAGTGGTTTTAGCTACCTTCAAACAAGCTTCCTATGTTTGAAGTTTTTAATTTGATGTAAAATGAAAGGTTAAAATATTACTGTTTGACTACGTATCTTTTACAGTGTGACTGTAACAACAGTAACAGCACTTTCTCAAAAACTTGATTTAACACATCTGCTTCTGTAAGTAGTTTACTAATTTGTTTAGGTGAATGCAGTTAGAACTGGTCTCAGGAATTTCCGTGTCTGACTCAGGGAATTACTATGTGTATATATATCTATGTATAATGTAAACCTTCATACATGTTGCGGGTTTACTTATATCTGTAATTTCTTTATTTCCTTTTCAGTGTTTGAAAATAAAAAGGAATTTATCTACAGTCATCCAAAATTAAGGAAGTTGGAGGAAATTGTAATAGAACACTTCAAATCCTGGAAGAAGGGGTGTTCTGGTAAGTACCAGCATCTCAAAGGAAAAAGTATCGGGACAGTTGAACCTGCGGATGAAAACAAGTAGTATCTTATTCATTTATTAAATTGTTCAAGTGCTTCTTTATTGTTTTGTGTGTTTGTGTATTTTCAGTGTGGAAGAGTCCACTTTAGAAGAACTATACCATAAAATTTCTTTAAGAAAAAACATTCTATAAGCTGTCGTTATTGATTTGATATAGACTGTTCTAACAGCTTAGTAAAACAGTGATGGTAAACTCATTCCTAGTGGTACTGTTCCTCATGATTTTCGTAGTCAGAGAATTTGTTCTGGAAACCATCTCTCAGTGCAGGGCTAGCGTTACCTCCTGCCAAGTTAGGTGCAACATAGTTATGGAGCTGAAGGATAAAAGTTCTGATATCCAGCCTGTTGCTAAGAACAACAAACTCTGAGGCATTGATTCAACATTTAAAACCTTCAATTACATTCATCTTTTTCTCATTCTTTTCATCTTGACCGAAAGGGAGAACAAAAATACGTCATACAGTAGCATGAGATTATGAAGCAAAACATTCTGAATCGTTGAGATGTCTTTGGTTTTAGGAAGTTTCAGCTTCTCGATCCAGGTGTTGCTTTTGGAGTGATGACATCAGTAACAACAATGTTTTTTGCAACTTCACTTTTTCCTGGTCTGGATCTTTGTGCTCTGTGAAGTCCTGAGAATTTCTGACCTACCCTTTTGTTTTGTGGGTTTGTGGGGTTTTTTTTCTTCTATATTAGTTACTTGATTTTCAGAATACACTTTAAATGACTGCTACTTTCTAGTAGGCAACTTTAAGTTTCCTCATTTCTGTTTTTATTAGTTTATAATACATCTAAATGCATTTAATCAATTTACTTTTTTTTTTTTTCTTTTTTCCTCTTTCCGTCCATACTTCTCTCTGTCCCCCCTGCCTCCTTACATGCCTCTGTCTTGTTTCCTGTAACAGCATCTTTCTAAGCTATTGCCTTTTGTTTTCACATTCTGTATTCTGTACTGGAGTTACGTTAAGTTTCATATTAAATACTCTTCCATCTTCCTTTGATAGCATTGATTTTGCTGTCATATGAATCCCATCAGATATGTTTTTCCTTTCAGTGTTGGTCAGACATGTCTGTTAATGCTACTAACAGGTAATAAATATTCAAATGTTCTGATTTTGTGTTTTGTGCCTGTGTGCGTCAACCTCAGACGTGAGTAGGTATCAATTGTAAGTCTTTATCATAGTAAATACAAAATTACTGTAACTGTGGAGGAAGAAATACATAATCTTTTACAGCATAATTGGCGAGCTGTGGTAGCATAGCTAGTCACATCTTGAGCTAGGTAAGTTAGGTTTTCTTGCTGGAATTCCTTGTTCCTGATCCCTGTAACCTTGTGAGTAACATACAAGGAAAGGCCACAGGGGATATAAAGCAGTGTCAATTCTCTAGATGCACGTAGTTAAATTTAAAACAAGTACAATTAAGCAGTCCTGAGACATTTGTTTATAAAGGAAGGCCAGAAAGCACTATACAATTTGAAGTCTGATCACAAAGTTGGAGGCATTCTAGTAACTTAGGCAACATAGTAAGCTCCAGCTTGTGTCTCCTAAGCTTACACATCTCCAACCCAAATGCACTGGGCAGTTGACAGAAATAGTGAGACACTGGGATTTTATTTATTTGCCTTATTGTTCACTGTGTCATAGTGTCTCTGATGATGCCTTTTGAGCAATAACCCAAACCATGTATTTCTACCCTTACTCTGTGTTTCTTGCATGTAAACTCAATGCACAGATACATGAGTAGCTACACCCGAAATTCTGGTTTTGGACTCTGACTGAATAGAGTACACACCTGTGTCCTGATTTCGCACTCCTCCAAACAAGAATTTATCAGGAGTCTGTCAATAAAAACTTGAGTACTTATTACGATTCCAAACATACTCACATGTGTCTTTGCTCCATCAGAAGGCTCTGAAGTGAAAGCCTGAATCATTATGTGGGCAGTGGAAAATGCATTCGGCGTTTGTTTCAGGAACTCATGCCAGTGTGTAGTATCTCTAGGGAAAAAAACCCCACAAAACTGAAGCAAACAAAACCCCTGCACTTCACTCTGCTTTGTTCCAATTATGCATTACTGAACTACTCTGAATCATAATTTACTGTGTTCATGCCTGTTTAGTTTTTAAACCCAATAACTACTTCTGCAAGGCATTTTCCTTGAAAAGCCCTACATTTGAGATAGAAAAGGAGAGTGTGAATAACTTGTCATCAGCCATATCAGGATCAACACTAGCTTTTTTTCTTCCACTTGAAATGAAACCTCACATATGAAAATTTGTGGGAGTAGTGCCAAGTTGCCTGTGCAAACTCTAAACCATTTATAACTAGTGATTGACCAGGTTAAGTTTGAGCTTCCTGACCACGTAGCTATTGCCACTGCTTTGCAAGATGAACTTTTGAAGAGCTTTATTTGACGACACTTGCCATCAAACAGCAATTCGAGTAAGTGCAAGCTAACACTCTGGCCAGCCCTGAAGAAATGTTGGCTCAGCACAATGAGCTTCTTCCAGCTAATCTTCCCTACCTGGATTACTTGTCAGATTGATTATGGGCTGCTAATGTCTTGCAGTCTGGTTTCGGAAAAGGTCAAGGAGGCAATGGCAGCAGTATAACATTTTTTACAGTACACGGACAGATGCTACGGAGTATTATTGCTATTCAAGTCATGAGAATATGCTAAAAATAGGTGCAAAATAATGGTGTTCAGAATAAAGTTAGTGGAAGAGAATAATATGAACTTGTGTAAAATGTATACAGCCTGCACTTATTCTGGAATATATAGCTTGTCAGCCTGCTCACGATGGCAAATTATGCTGAACACATTTACAGCAGTGTTGCAATTGTCTGGTTTCTAGCTAAAAATTCTGAATCATACTCACCATTTCATTCCTAGGCCTTCACTGGGGACTGTTTTCTGTGCTTGACAGATGACCTCCTGTATCACCTGCAGTGTGCTGAAACACTGCAGGAGAATATCCGAGAGTGATTTAGACGAGTTGGAAGGGAGCGCTGGACATCCCCTGGGCTAAGCTGCTCAGTTGTCAACCTCAGGAGGGAAATTTGTTTTGACCAGAGGCAGCCATCTTCTTAACCTACCTGTGAATTCAGGGCTCATCTTAAAAAGAAATGGGGAAAACGAGTAGCTTCAGCTTCTCCTTTTTGACTTAAGCTGCGTTTCTGCCTGTCGATATGCACGACTGGAAACCAATCCTGAATTTCGAATAGTTGGTCGGAAAGATACATATACTTACTTGTTACCCTTAATGCTTTAACTTCAAGAAACAGCTGGATGCTGGAATTACAGGCATAGCATGAAACCGTTGTCAAGCACCAAGTGACTGCTCATCATGTGTTCAGGGAAACATCTTTTTACACATTCGCTCTTGAGACACTTCATTCCTTGTCTAACCTTTGTTTTAATGAGATAAAGGTGTTTTGGGAAGAACTGTGTAAGAGAGGAGATCTTTATCTGTGGAAATCTATTTGATTTCATCTGCGGGCTGTGTCTAGGTAGTGCAGCAAGCTGTGCCAGTTTCAGTTATTCATTAGATCCTTTCAGAGATTCTCTTTTTTAACACACCAGGGATTTACTTCGTAGCATGTTGTTGGAGTCTTTGGATAGGTTAAAGAGAAGCTGACTGTTCAAGACTTGCATGTCACTTAGACGGCTTTCGGTTGTGCCCATGAAAGCAGATACCCTTATGTGTTTAAAAAAAAAAGAAAAAAAAATAAGTTGTGTACCCAGCAGACAAAATCCATGATGGTATAACAGAAGAAATGTGTTTTTGGTGAAAGGTGCCTTGCTAAGAAACCATGTATCAGTGGAATTATTTTTCCCTTTTCTTTGAGAAGGGAGAAGTTATCCTTGCTATTGAAATGAGAGATCTAACCAGTTGTGATGACAGCTGATACACATCTCTCTTACTCCACCATGCTGTATCCTATATCCTAGACTAACAGTAACAGTGTTTTTATTGCTGTATGTTGCTAACCTCATCTAACTCTGGGCATCTGAGTAGCAGATTTACAAGTCACCTTGGAGACTGTTTGGAAGAAGGCATCTTAAGCTTGCTTTCATGACACTTACCATCAAACCTGAGCTTTTCAAAGTAACGTTAATAATGGTACTTCAGGTATAAGGCATTCTCACCATAGTTGGTGTAAATTCCACAAAAATAGAATACCGCTTTGATTCCAGTGAGGAATTGTTTGAGCAGCTCTGTCTCGCAGCATTTTCTGAGAGGTTGGTCTAAAAAAGGCTGAGATTCCTAATTGTCATTTTTTTCTACTGTTGGATTTTTTATTTGTTTACTTAAGATTTTTTTGATGAAATTTCTTTTAAAGAAAATTCCTATGAAAGAAGTGAAATGCAGTATACTTGGACAAAATGTTCCAAGTAAGTGAGATGAGAGCTGTGAATGTGTAACTTATGGGATGACCTGCCATTACTGTTTACCGGTGATTATTTAATTGGGAATAAAAATGCTTTTCTGGCTTTTTAAAATTAAACAGATGAAGTCACAACTGAAAGCACATCTGTGGATGCTGTGGACACCAGAGTGATGATCTTCTCATCGTTTCGAGACAGCGTGCAAGAAATTGCAGAAATGCTTTCCCGGCTCAGTCCGGTTGTCAGAGTAATGACATTTGTTGGCCACTCCACAGGAAAGAACACGAAGGGCTTCACGCAGAAGGAACAACTTGAGGTAAAGAAAAGATGAGACTTGTATTAGGAAACGGCGATAAAGAGTTTTAATTAAATAGTACATGAGTATCAATATAGATTGTGTGGCTGTGACTGAGCTTTAAAGTGGCATTAGTAAATTCCTGTGTTGTTCAATTGCTTTCAGAGTATCCAAAATTATGCTTACTGCACAGAATGTATAAGTAGAAATATTTTATACATTTACAATATCTTAACAAATGCTGAATTTTGTATATTTGAAAATCTGGGGAAATATTCAAATATTTACTTAGGGGATTTTTTGTTTTTTTCCTTGTAGGTAGAAAAATTAAGATATTTCTTTAAATTTTGATCTAGCAAAGTTAAAAAAAATAATTAAAAAAATTAATTGCAAAGTTGGGAAGATCAGTTGTAGAAGAATGCCATGGTTGGAGTCAGAATAAGGTGTGCTTTTTTTCCTTTATTTTAGAATCGAAGAGTTGGTATGTTGATGCTGACAACATTAGTGCATGGTATTTGGTCACGATGTAGTAGTTGACAAATTCAGAAAGTCTAAGTTTTGTAATTTTAAAATCTAAATTAATTTTTTCAACTTCTGTCTGAACCTAGAAAAAAATACAAAAAGGGGCCTTCTGGCATACCTGTTGAATCTCATTTTAATCGTTCATCCAGGTGGTAAAACGCTTTCGTGAAGGTGGGTATAACACTCTGGTGTCTACCTGTGTCGGGGAAGAAGGCTTGGACATTGGAGAAGTTGACCTCATCATCTGCTTTGATGCTCAGAAAAGCCCAGTTCGCCTTGTGCAAAGGATGGGCCGAACGGGGCGCAGGCGGCAGGGCAGGATCGTTGTCATCCTCGCCGAAGGGCGGGAGGAACGGGTGAGTGTGTAGATTGCTTCTCGCTGGGAAAACCAAGTCACTCGTTTAGCCTGCTGCAGGAAACTATGTACCATGCATTAAAAATCACGGTGATCCTGAGCACTCAAAGCAACATTTTAACTGTCCCAACAGGAAAGTGCAATAGCCCACAATATTCTAAAAATATGTGCACTCGCTCGGTGTGAAGAGCTTCAAGCCTTTGTTCCTAGTAACACTTATTTTATAAATGATAACCTGGGCCGCAGAAAATACAGGGATTTTGCCAAGAGTACAGAACGACGGGTGAGAGCGGGAAGGGCTGGAAGTGTCTTGCTCTGAACTGCTGACACTGCGCTTGCAGGCAGGTACTTAGCCGTAGCAGACTTGGCGTGTGAGGTCTGAAGAGATCAGCTTAAGTGGAAATCTACTTTTGCTAAATTCCTGAACCCTCAGCACTCAACTCAGAGTATAATTAATCGTCTCTGAGTGCAGGCTGCCCCTTGGGAAACTGAGGTACCCATGGAAATCTAAGCTGTGAGCCGGGGAAGGAGATCTTCAGCTGTACCAGCCCCCTGCCCAGCTTCACCCCGCAGCCGCCCGGTTGCTAGGGCTGAGCCACGGGAGCTGGTGGGGCAGGGTTTGGGCAGGGGGAGGCAAGGCCGTCCCCGCTGGTGGCTCGCTCGCTGGGGAGAGCGGTTGCCCAGTAAGTAGTATGAATCTGCATCTTTGCAGTTTCATCGTGCAGCCCCTGGTGGGATGCAAGCCAGTTTTAGGGTGCACCTCACTGTTCTGGCTGAAAATGGATTTTGTTCTTCGCTGGTTTTGGTTTGCTTGGGAGGCTGGTTCTGAGTTGGATCAGGTTTCATGACACAGAAGGATGAGATCTGTGTAAGCTAATTGTAAACCCGAAATTTCAGAGTCTTGCTGTTTTTTCATTTCTTCCAGTCGATGTTGTGCCTCTAGTTTAAATTTGTTGGTAGAATGGATTAAATTCTAAATGAAGGTCCAAAGAATCCTGCCTGAGGGAGAAAGCTGCTTTGAAGGGAAGAGAGTTTAAAATTATATAAGTTGTGCCTCTAGTTTAAATTTGTTGGTAGAATGGATTAAATTCTAAATGAAGGTCCAAAGAATCCTGCCTGAGGGAGAAAGCTGCTTTGAAGGGAAGAGAGTTTAAAATTATATAAGTGAATGATAATGGTAAATAGATATTTTCTCATGCTGCTTATGAAGACTGGTTACTACTGTGCTGTGTTCTGTAATGGGATATTAAAAAGGTCCCTTAAATTCCTTGGAGATTCACTCAAGTGTTTGGATTACTGGGTTCTTCAGAATTTCCCAGAAATCTTTGAAGCAAAAACTTCCCCCAGGTAGGATAGTAATTTACTATAATTTTTTTTGTTTTGAAATAATGAAATAAATGTAATTGTTGAATTATATTGGATTTGTTTGTTTGTGTATGCTTGGGTTTTTGGTTTTGTTTGGTGGTTTGGTTTTTTTTTGATTGAGTCTCCTTCCAGATCTGTTAATGTGGAGATTCTTCCCCATCACATAACTTGCAGTGAAGTAATTAATGGTCTCACATTAATTTGTGGGCATTTGTTTGGTGTTTCTTTTTTTTCTTTTTTTTTTAAACCTCAGACCACTTCAAGTCAATTATAAAGCTTTTGGAGAACTTTTATTGGGAAAAATTGGTAGACACTGGCCTGGCAGTTTGAAGTTTGACAGGACTTTGAATTACAGAAGTGTTTATTACTCTGTTCAAGTCCTCTCCTCCCCGGGTGTTTCCCTGCCCTGTTCAGCTGTCCCACTGCACGTCCCGCGCCTGCACCCTGCTCGTGCCCTGGGTTCCCTGAGTGTCCAGCTTACAGATCTTCTGCCTCTCTAGTCCGGCCGTATTCCCAGATGTGCTGTGTTTTAATTTGGGTTTTTTAACGTCTTGTGACAGCTCAGCTGCACATGCATCAGCCTGGAAGGGAGCTGTTGGCTGCAGATTTCAACCCTTAGGAAGAGAAGGGCTCAGAGGCACAGGGGAGCTGGCAGGCTCTCCCGCTCCTAAGTGTCAGGCTAAGCTGACACTCTCTGTGAAAGAAAGGAAAAGGAAACATACTGTCTCAGGAACAACAACATAGCCGTTCTGTTAAGCAATGGGCTTGGTAATATAAATTTTTATCCATAAAAAGACTTGTGTGCTTGTTCTAGGATTTAAAAGATATTCATTGGAATGCCTGAGGGACAGTTTATTAGAGCTAGCTGTTAACCTCTTCCAGTTTTATTCAGAGAGCACCTTCTTGTGTCCGTCTCCTCTAATCCTGGCTTCCAAAGAGCATCTCTCTCAGAAGAACGTAGCTGCCATACAGTCCTACCTGGGCGTGCTGTCTCCATCGGTGACCTGTCACAGAGACTCAGAGAAGAGCAGTAGGACAAGAAAGACTCGGGTCGGGGGAGCGGGTTCTTTCCTTAGTTTCTCCATGTTTGCCTTGGTTTCTCTGTTGCACAGTAAAATGCAGTGTAATTAAAAGGACTTGGATCATGTATGACATTAACAAATAAACTTATGCCTGTTTTTGTTTGACCTCCTTTCTTTGTTTCTGGTGTAATCTATTTTCTATCATCCCTGTATCTATTGCAGTTGTAAATTCACCTAGGCAAGGGCTGCGTTTCTTTTCCTCTCAAGTGCTGTGCCTACTTCTGATCTATTTACAGAGTGTGAAAAGCTGTACATTGTTTTATATTTTGTATTGTTTGCCACTAAAGAACAGTCACTGTTGTTTGGTACTTCCTTGCTTTTTATTTTACGTAGGCACAAAAAGATGATAATTCAAATTTAATTCCACTTAGATATTTTAGTATAGAAGCTCTTTAAAAAAGAAAAAAAGAAAAATAACTTAAGAGCTATGCTTTAATGTATTCGTTATCAGATTTTCAATACAAACTTACTGCTTTGTTTCCTCGTTGATGTCCTTCTGTTCCTTTCCTCTCTCTGCTTTGGTTACCATAATATGGAAGCACACTGAAAGTCTTGAACTCGAGTTCAAGAACTTGAACAAGCTGTTATGGTGACCTAATTCGTGATATTCACAGAAGAGGGAATGTGGTCTCAGGGCCTTGCATCATACTTGGTTTTAGCTGTGTTTGGGGAAGAAAAGAAAAAAGAATAAGTAACAAAAAGCATTGTGATGACAGAACATAAAATAATGAGAAACCCCACAGACACTCAGGTGTTCTTATACTTTTGATCAAGTCATGAAAAAAAACAATCAACAACATATGATTTATCTTCTTTTTTACAGACTTACAATCAAAGCCAGTCTAACAAAAGGAGCATCCACAAAGCTATTTCAGGAAACAAAATGCTGCATTTCTACCAGCGTAACCCACGTATGATTCCGGAAGGCATAAATCCAAAGTTGCATAAAATGTTTATTACTGCTGAAAAATATGAACCGAGCAATTCAAGAGCACTTTCCAAAGAGAGAAGATCTAATTCCTTCCAGCATAAATCTGCTCCCTTTTCCTGTGTCACCGGTAAGAGGATTATGGTGTTTTTCTAAGCACTGCGTAAGCTGCTATCTCATGTTGTTGCTTTACAACATATCAAAACTGTGTGCTCAAATTAGTTTTGGGTCTCTAGCAAAAGTGTAATTTCTGTGGTCTTTTGACTGTGATACTGACTGCTGCTTTTATTCCTCATCCTTTTCCTTTAACATACTCAAATCACGGTTCTGTCCTTAAGTATCCGTGCTTCAAATCAGGCATTTGTTTCGTCTTGCTCCACAGAGCTTCTCATGGAGTCAATGACTGAAGGTCAGAAACTCCAGCTACAAACAGAAGTGGCGAATGTTAGTGATGTCTGCTGAAGACTGCTGACATACCTGTGTCAGGTGGCATAATTGTCACGTAAATGTGTAGTGATAATTCTATACCAAATCTGGTTTTGAGCTTTAATAGTTAGGCTTAATGTTTTTATTAATACAAGAGAAGTATGTCTTTCATAGCTTTGTAAATGATGATAAAACAGAAATGCTTGAAAACGAAAGGATTTTGAGGGGAGGAAAAGGAGGAATCAAGAGTAGGAAATTTATGAATTGCACACACCCTTGGAGGAAAATAAATCTAAAAAGATAAATGGCTCTAGCTGATGCAGTTACATGGCACCAAAATGCTCAGTAAACTGAAGAAAATTACAAGATAGGAAGAAAGAGCCAAGTTTAGTATATATATTTGGAAACTGATGTGCTCTGTCTCGTTGGTTAAGTGCTTTCTGTAAAGACCAATACCAACTTTTTTGGAGAAGAAACTCCTAAAAGCCTTGGGAAACTTCATATTTCATTATCTGAGTAGTGAAGACTTTAGAGTTAGTGTTTTTCACATGCTTCTGATCACAAAAATTCTTATTATCAAAATCTACATCCAGTCTCTTTCCAAACACCATCCAGGACAAACAAAAGGCTGAATACACAAAGGGGAAGCATGCTACAAAATCATGCAGAAAATAATCAGCTTCCCCTGTGGCCTCCAATACAGTTCATGGTATCTCCCAGTTTGCAGGGTAGAAATATAATGGAGAAGAATTAGTATTGATACATCGATCCATACGTGCCATCCTCAGCCCAGACTCTCTGTATGTGTGCCTGTGCTGCAGGCACAGCCGTGGCACGGTTGTGACGATGCTCCTGATCTCGACGTTTCCCGTTCGCCTCGGGAGCCTGCTGTGAGGCGTGCTTGTCTGTGTTTTGTGCACAGCCCCGATGGCAGCCAGTGAGGAAAACTAGGGCTGATACAGAGAGACACAACTTGCAAGAAAATAAGCAGAACAAAACATGGAATTAGAAATAATCATTTCAGAATGTTTGTAAGTCTGTCCCAGAAAACAGAAATGAGAGGCAGAAGAAAGGCTGTAATTACCAGGTTGTTTTTGTGTGAAATAGGGTAGCAGCTGCCCCAGTTGAAGTGCATAGTGTGCGTGGAGGTCTGGCAGTTGCCAAAGATGAGCATGATTGACTGCCCATCTTGCAAACAAGTGCTACGTGAGTGCAAGTTACGGAGCACCAGCTTTGTGCTGAAGTGCTCTTCATTACTGCAAGAAGCAAATGTCTGTTTCTGCTTTTAACTGTATTCAAGATAAACCTCAAGAAGTAGAGAAAGGTCTTTACTTCTTGCATTGCTCTCCTCTCCTTATTTGAGTTCCCCCTTCCACATTGGATATTTGAAAAAAATAGCCATAATGAATAATCATAAAATCATAGAACGGTTTGGGTTGGAAGGGACCTTATACCAGCCAATTCCAACCCCCTGCCATGGGCAGGGACCCTTCCACCAGCCCAGGGTGCTCCAAGCCCCATCCAGCCTGGCCTTGAGCACTG